ATCATTGCCTTGCATTATTTTTTGAAACTACAGATATTTGAACATAAAACTATACATTTAAATATTACTTTACTAAGACATTATTGGGAGATATAGAGTGACAGCTGATATTTATATGGAGTTTATGTAAGCAGTCTGTGATAAAGAACCCACCGATTTAGAGTACAAGCATCAGAATTTCATCATACTGTATAAATATCAGATTTTTCAGTCTATTATTGTATATGCCAGGCTTTACAGAGTTAATGTAATGTCATTATTGGTGCCATTGTGAAAAAAAAAAAGGTTAATATCAGTAAAAATTTCAGGTCAAACTAATTACCAGCCTGTATCTTTTGAATTACATCACATCTGAATAATAAAAAATGACCTAACTTCTGAAATGATGTACTGCTCATGTTAAAACGGTGGTGTAATTTTGGGTGAGGTGAGGGGCAGTTGGATAGACGGTGCTGCGTGTGTCTACACTGGGGTACATTGACATGGTGGTGAAATCCAAGAAGCAGGAGGAATTCCAGGGAGGGCAGCTACATCTGCGGACACCATTATCTGCTTCACATAATCTCAACTTTTCAGGTGCAGAAAGACATCAGAAGCAGCCCCCATACCCCTTCTCTAAAGGCTTTGAAAATATAAAGATTCAGTTATAAATCCCAATGTTTCCTGTTCTATACGTCCCAGGCTTGGAATTTCCATGATACATCAGGCTGTAAAGGCTGCTTTACTGGGACAGGTCGAAAGATGGTATTTGGTTTCGTTCATGCAGTGTCTGTCATTCAGAGTCACGAATGGAGTTACAGGAGTTAACGTGTGATCTGAAATCACCTGACGTCTCAGCAGTGTCTCATGATGAACTAAATATCCAAAACCAAGGCTCTGCATGTCAGCATCATTGACTGAACTCCAAAATGTCTGTTCGCTATGTTATTGCCAATGAAACGACTTTGTTTTTGCGTTGTCATATTTCCTATTGAATCAGGAAGTTGCTGCAGGACATACACTACCATACTTTTTTTTTTTTTTGAATGAATAAATGAAATGCAGCAAGACTGCATTAAATTGATCAAAAGTGATATTAAAGAAATTTATAATGATACAAACGATTTCTATTTCAAGAAAAAATCTATTCATCAAAGAATCCCAAAAAGAAATGTATCACGGTTTCCGCAAAAATATAAAGCAGCACAAATGTTTTCAAGATTGATAATAATAATAAATGTTTCTTGAGCAGCAAATCAGCATATCAGAATGATTTCTGAAGGATCATGTGATACTGAAGACTGGAGTAATGATGCAGAAAATTCAGCTTTGATCACAGGAATAAATTGCATTTTAAAATAAATTGAAATATAAAACAGTTATTTTTAATTGTTATAGTATTTAACAATATTAAAGAAGAGAGTTCTTTCAAAAACATTACAAATTCTTACCAAACCCAAACATTTAAATGGCTTTTTTAATCTAGAGAGCATTTGATTGGACAAAAAAATGTGTATACACCCCTGAGTTCACAATGATGTCATCAATATTTTTGTTTCATTATCCACAGCAGAGACAGAGTGTAATTTTGAAAAGTGTATATGGACCTGATTTACTTACAGCTTGTACCAGCGCAAACCCACTTTTGTAGTTAAAAAACTACTGTCAGGATTTATTAAAGACACGCTGTGAAAAATTAGTGATGAAAAGGCATGCCCAGAGGAAAAATGTATTGCTCAGTGGTTGCTTTTCCTAAGCTCAGGAGACTTAGATGAGATTCTCATATATCTCTCATTTTAGTATCAACAGCATTTCAGATATTTCTCATAAAATTCCTTAGGAGAAATAGTAGACACAAATCAGACATAAGAAATATTTGAGAAAAAAAAGATTCAGAGCAGAGAATGTGGTGGAAGAAACATCGCTGCAATCTCTATCAAGACTCCATTATAGGAATATTTTATTGCTCAGTGGTTGCTCTTTCTAACCTCAGGAGACTTACTTGTGATTCTCATGTATTTCTCATTTTAGTCTCAACAGTGTCTCAGATGTTTCTCCTAAAAATCCTTAGGAGAAATAAAAGTAGACACAACTTTTATGTAGAACTTTCTCATGTAGAGACATGAGAAAGTTCTGAAAGAAAGGAATCCAAAATGACAACGAGAGAGAAACGTGTGAGAAACATGTGAGATCTCTTTATTGTCTTGCTGTAATCTCTTGCAAGACTCCATTTATTGCAATGGGTTTTTCACCTTTAATGGTCAGGACAGTAGGAGTAGAGACAGGAAACAATTGGACAGGTGAGAATTGAACAGGAGCAGGAAAGTACCTTTAGCTGGGATTTGAACCCATGCTGCCTGAGGTGCAGTTGTGTTGTCATATCAATGTGCTGCCCACAAGGCTATGGCTCTGACAGAGACTACACTATGCAGTTTTATTTTAGGAGAAACATTAAACTTTTACTAATATTGTAAATACTAAAACTGTCATTTAAATAGCATTAAACATTTCAGAATATCAAGGGTTGCCAGTTTAAACGTTTACATTTATCTTCAATGTCCAGCATTGTGTATACACCACATTTTCCCAACACACTAGAAAGGACTTACAAGTGCAATATGTTTAGTATAAGAGCAATACCTTTTTTTTTAACAAATGTAACACTAGTGTCCCAGTGTTTTTTTTTTGCTTTGTTTAGTATTACAATTTTGTCTTGTACAGCCCATTTTTGCATGTCTGTAAATATAGGTTATGGTTTCCTCTGTTAAATCACTGTGCAATAAAACACTGTCTACATAAAACAACTTCAAATATGACAATGCATGTATTGTCTTTGATTGAAATGGTGTGGATAAATTACATTGAAGCTAACCAGAGGGAAGAAAAATAAAAT